GTTATAGATTCGACAAGTTTTTTCCCGTTTGAAATCATTGAAAAATACAAATGTTTATCCTTGAAGTAATAATTGCCAGGAAGATATCTTTAAAAAAAATAAGTATTATTTATCTTTTGGAAAGGTTATTTCAGGAATATTAAGGAAAACATCTTTTGTGAAGAGATTGTCATGCGCTTTTTTATGCAATGTTAAAATACTAGTATCATTTTTCTGTATATCATACCCCATAATAACATTGCTGAAAAAGTGGCGAACATTCCTTAACATGCATTTGAAAATGTAAGTGTTGTGGCAACGCACTTTGAAAAAATTACGCACTTTGAAAAAATTTTTCGAAGTGCGTTAAAATTGGGACAAAATCAACGCACTTTGAAAAAAAATTTCAAAGTGCGTTAAATTTGGGAGCAACTCAACGCACTTTGAAAAAAATTTTCAGAGTGCGTTAAGAGTCTACATCAATATATTCTATCATGGAGACACTTAACGCACTTTGAAAAAAAAAAACAACATATTTTAGTAATGGAAAGATTTTATTTGTTATTTATCTTTCAAAAAACTAACCCTAATCCTAACTTCAAAAAAGAATTGATTTACTCCCGTCGAAAAGAGGAGAAGACGGGTATAAGATCCCTCAGTCCAAATCTTTATCTCCCCAATACATAGGTGTCGGTAACAAACGGGGGAGGAGAGCAATAAACCCAAAAGGGGTAAGCTGCATTTTCAATCTTATACGATGTATATATCTTTCCAAAATAAGTGGGGGGCTTAGACCCCTTCCCTGGCCCTTCGCCTGGTCTCGATGTCTATGCTATACTCAAAACATTCATGTAATGTATTTACCTAACTGGTATGTCGTTGAAAACTTTCAATATTAAATGAGTTAATCAAAACAGATGAAAACTAGAAATGTTTAAGTACAGTAAAACGTATGAGAGAGAAAGAATTTTCATAGTTTTGAACAATCAAATTGCCCCCTTTTTATTATGATAAATGCTAAGTTGCTTAAAGCTGTCCACTGTAAGTGCTCCTTTTACACCTTTACATCTATTTATCAAAGACTAATTAAAAAAAAACGAATTATTGATCTTAAACAATCGTCACTATTTTTTTCAAGACCCTTTTCCCTTTTATTTTATCAAAACCTCAAACATTTAAATCGTCAATATCTCTGGTCCTGAAGTGACTTTATCATAAAAAAGTTATCCAACCAGGATCTGTTATTTATCATACCGATTATTTTTTAGGAATATTGATCAATCTTTACATTTTTTTCAAAGTGCGTTAATATGGTCGATATTAACGCACTTTGAAATAAAAATTAATTTTTTCAAATTAAGTGCGTTAGCTTGGTCCCAAATTTAACGCACTTTGAAAAAATTTTTCAAAGTGCGTAATTTTTCAAAGTGCGTTATAACAAAGCGTCATACACGTAAGATTAGTAGTCAGCCGTTCAGAACCTTTAAGGAATTAAAAGTTAAAGTTTTTGCGACAAATAGATTAACAAACAGAAAAAGTGGATGGTCACCCAAAATACATGCATCGAATCTTCGAGAAGGGACATAAAAGCTGTCGATTTGTCCAAACTTTTAATCAAAAATCGAAATTTAAATTCTGCATTTCATTACATTTTATAATATCACCAAACCATAAAGTTCACTGTCGCACCATTTATGGCACCACTGCCGATAGTGCAATGTTCAAAGATGATGGAGATGGTGCGGTAGAAAAATAACGAATGAGTGAGCACGATGGAATAATATCGAACATCTCTTCATCGACGACGGGTCATCGTGCCAACGTCATCGCAACGTCACTCTTTTTTTATTTCTCTTGCTGTCTTGCCATCATCTTTATTATCGCGTCATCACATTGCTACCATTCTACCACTCTATGACATCATTGTCATCGCTCAAATAGATTAACAAACAGAAAAAGTGGATGGTCACCCAAAATACATGCATCGAATCTTCGAGAAGGGACATAAAAGCTGTCGTTTTGTCCAAACTTTTAATCAAAAATCGAAATTTAAATTCTGCATTTCATTACATTTTATAATATCACCAAACCATAAAGTTCACTGTCGCACCATTTATGGCACCACTGCCGATAGTGCAATGTTCAAAGATGATGGAGATGGTGCGGTAGAAAAATAACGAATGAGTGAGCACGATGGAATAATATCGAACATCTCTTCATCGACGACGGGTCATCGTGCCAACGTCATCGCAACGTCACTCTTTTTTCTTTCTCTTGCTGTCTTGCCATCATCTTTATTATCGCGTCATCACATTGCTACCATTCTACCACTCTATGACATCATTGTCATCGCTCAATCAACGTAACCATCATTTCATTGAAAATTCGACTTCAATGGTGGTATATAGAGAAACACCTGTTCCTACCCGTATTCCATAAGGTCATTTTATAAAATTTCTACCCCTGCTTTGAACGAAATAAATCATTCGTCTGGATCAACTAAAATGAATATCATGCATAAATGAAATTCCGATCGTAAGATAGCGAGGGAGGGCTCCTCTAGCTTGATTGATTGATGAATTCCACGGTTAAATCCTTGGCTCCACTGCTTTCTAACAATTAAGTTATTATCTGTAACTGTAGGGATTACGAAATTTAAAAAAAAAAAGCTGACAGGACTTTTGTTAGCTCTGAAATTAAACTTGGACGAGTTATATAAGGGAGCGAGTCTCTCAATGGTTATTGTCTTTCTCACAAAAACCCAAAATACCACTATCATGAAATCAAGTGCATGTTTAAACGTACTAGCAGGAGATATGTATGCAAGATTTACATGAAAATATATTGTAAAATTTTTCATTTGACCTCCACCTAGTAAATGCAAAATGAACAACACGAAATTGCCATCACATGATTGGCAACAGTAATTTTTATTCTTAATGTTCTGGGAAAGAATTATGACCTTGACCTGACTTTGCTTCAAATATAAAACTATCAAATTTTAATCTAATTCGATCACTTAGTGATGTTGTCTTCTTGAATTATGAAAATTTCATTAAATTTTAATTGCAAAAAATGAGAAGAATTCCCTCTTAATCATCAGAACTTAAATTTTAAATGTGTGTACTCTGACGATATATTTTTAATCAAAAATGTTTTTGCAAAAGTCCATATTGTACTAAGATGAATTTTATGGAAAAAGTCTTTCTTCTTGACGAATTCCCAATCCACAAATAAAATACATGTGTAGAACAAGAAATTAGTATAGTACGTACGGTGACAATCCACTTGCTCTATCTTTTTGTGATTTTTAATTTTTTATCCGATGAGATCCTTTTTTTAATCACTCTAAGCAATTCAGTCAATAATATATACTAAAGATATTTTTGCTATCTTTCATAATCATTTGCTGACTTTTGTTCTTTATAATCAAAATGATCATTTTCTCTTGTCTATATAATCTACATAAAGCCATAACTCTGTTTTTAGGTTGTATATTTGAGATAGACTTCATTTAAAAATTGAGACGTCATATTTTGTTCTCAAGAAAACGCACTAATGACTTGTATTCATACAGGTGTACAAATGAAAGAAAATGGGTTTTCAGGTACTGTAATATCAATTACATATATTTTCCTCAATATCAGTAGCTATTGATGAAAGTTTTTGTCACATTCGAGACTGTCTTGTCTATCATTGCATTGTCTTGCATTGTCTATCTTAAAAATCTACATCATATTTACAATTCAATATCCATCGATGTACTGCGTATACATACATATATTTCGCTTTATCATATGTTGGTACTTTTCATATTGATGGGTTGAAACGTTTACGAGACTTGCTGTTAGAATCTGACTCACAGCATTTTGATGTATTAAGATAATAACTGGTACTTTGCTCAAACAGTTACAGAGAAAATCTGATGCGTGAGTACTTACATTTTTAAAGAAATAAACTATTGTAATGTGAGTAGCTCTGCCCTACTTCTTGCCATCAAAGTTTGTTGCAGCGGAAAACTACTTTACACTCAAGGCACAAGGCGTTATCGGATACTTACATATAGTTCTTACAGTACCTAACATTACAACAAAAGCCTCCATTGTTCAGCAACTGCGAAAAGTATTCACATTCTAGATAACCCCTCATTTTGGTCATCTGTCAGGAATGTTGACAATGGTATCCATGGATACCTTTTTTCGATCTGAATGACCTACTTAGGTAAACTACAATTGTGGGACTGCGGTCACCCACTTGACAAGACGCTGGCCTCTCGAGGCTAATTGTGAGGAAATTAAAGTCCTCCAGTCAACCTAACCAGTGCAACCAAACGATTTTGTTCAAACACTTGCGGGACATTAATAAGAGAGATTAATGACCTGTTTTAGGGGGGTGAATCATTTGAATTCTTTTAAAGTCCTCTCTTATTTCGTTTCACATAGAAATGTTGAGTTAATTTGACTTTGTTCTGAACAAAATTTACATAGGTTCTATTTTGGTGTTTATTTTATAACTTAATTGAATCATTGGGTTATGATGCTTTATTCCCCCCAAAAAGAACATTTTTATACTTTATAATTAGATCAGAAACGTGCAGGAGAAGTGGTGTAATTAGATTAAGCAATCCTGTAAGTGATTGTTTCCGACATATAATTGTTTGTACAGTCATAGCCATCATGAGATATTTACTCGAAGTTTAACGTGATCCAAATTTCAAAAGTTCTATCATATCTTAGTGCGTTTTGTTTTTAATTTTTTAGCAATTTAGACAACTCATACATTCACTATCAAGTCTGACCGGTCGGCAGGGGATGCTCACTCCTCCATAGCACCTGATCCCACCTCTAATGTTTTGGAGGTCCGTGTTTGCTCAGCTTTTATTTTGTATTGTTTGATGGATTTTTGGTCTTGAATACTGTTTGTTATCTCCATGCTTCATTTTGTGGTTTAACTCAACGGTTATGTGAATATCTTCTGTATGTACATGACCTACTATGCATTTACATATTCAGAATCAAAACTCTTATGGCATTGAACTTTATTGTTTTACAATAGTCATAAACTTGGATGAAAACATACAGTACATTATATGTTATGAAAAATTATTTCCTCATAATTTATACATGCATTTGCAAGTCTATCATGTTTTGCACTGAAGCATATATAAAATTCATTTATTGTATATATCTATTGACTAGAATTTTATTGCACATATTTAGAGCCCTTCATGCCAAAGGCTTTAATTTCATTAGCACATAAAATTATTTGTTTGGCCTGTCAATATATGTATGATAATAGAATGGAAAACAACCCAAAAATCACTGGCAAGTTCGAATATTTGTGCAAGCACCATGTAAATCTGGCAGTGACTACATATTATAAATCACTAACATCAGAAAGTTTTGAAGACCTTATTTCTTCGTAAATATTGTTTAAGCTTTCTAGCGAGCGTCTCTCTAAAGCAGAAAATTTGTCCGTTTCCGTCTGACTAGCAGAGGATGAAATGGGAGTTTCGTATCCATCTTCATCTTGGCGAGAATAACTGTGGTTCAGAATAATATCGGGTGTGTTATTTCTCATGATCGTCTGCTTTGGTGGATTCATCATGTAGCGAAGCTTTTCCCAGAAGCACATGTCATGGTAATTTACCAATGTACTTGAATGTGATTTCACAAGTTCGTTTAAATTTCTCTGTAGGTTCATCCCTTTCGGATCTTCTAGGACAACGATTATGAGATTATTATTTCTTCGAAAGAGAGTTTGAAATGAGTTGTAAAATGCGCTGTTTTTCCATTCATGGTCATTGAAGTTTTTAGACACAAGTAAAATCGTTCGTTTTGATCTGTTAATGTTGCACTCAATGGTTTCTTCCATAGTCCCACCGACTGGGAAATCTCTGTAATACACACACAGTCTGTATCCTAGTTCATTCTCCAGACGAGGAATGAATTCTCTTGTGACGTAGTCATCATCTTTGTGACTATATGCAAGAAAAGCATCATAAAGTTTGTCATTTCCTTCTACATTTTCCTTTTTGCTTCTACATTTACAACTACAACGGAGAAACGGACTTCTAGGTCGCCAGAGACAAATGAAAAGCACGATAAGACAAGTTGCCGCTACAATGGAAGCAGCAATAGCGACTAGAATGATCAAAATGTTAGGGGAACTTTGAACTCTGTCCTGTTTTGATATCACTGTATTTTTCTCTGACGTGATATTGGTACATATTTCAGATTTCACATCCTTAATGCTGACATTCCGAGTAAGATCCTCGGTTTTGCAATACAAATTATTATAATCAGCCACCATCACTGATCTGTTGGTCACAGCTGGCAGAAAATCCACCATGAAATCACAGTCACAAGTCCACGGATTTTCTGCAAGAGTCATATTGCTTAAGCCCCAGAAAAGTTTCAGAGCTGACTCCGGAAGTGTCATCAAAAGGTTGTGGTCCAAATAGAGTGCGGATATTGATGTCAGTGAGGAAAAAGCATTCTTCTCTAAGTATGAAATTTTGTTATATTCCAGGTGTAGTTCCGTCAAATTCCATAATCTGGCGAAAACTCCATCCGTTATACTTAAAATATTGTTGTTGTTTAAGTACAGCACCCTCAGTTGAGATAGGCCAATGAAGCTGAAGTTGGCTAGGGTGGTAATCCCGCTGTGATCTAGGTGTATTATCCTAAGATAAATAAGTCCAACGAAGCTTCGGGAGTAGATTTCTGAAATGTTGTTTCCATCTACAGAAATTTCTGTTGTCAACGCAGGAATATTAGATGGCAGTTCCGTAAGACCTCGATTTGAACACTGAACAAAATGCGTAGACATGAAGTCTGAGCTACTGTAACAGGAACATCCGGCAGGACAGACAAACATACAATCACACGGCTCAAAATCGCAGCAGAAACACGTATCAGTGCACTCCTTTTCATAGGTACACAACATATTGTCCGACTGTACGGTGTAAAGTGGAATCGGTTCCTCAATCCGATATCCAGTATGGCATTGAAGATGGTACATATCCCCGACGACCGGAAAACCGGTATCCATACTGACTTCGTTCACTTTTTTTCTTAACCAGATCAGATTGCAGTCACACTTGAATGGGTTTTCTGAGATATAAACCATCATTGTTTTACTTCTCTTTATTGGAATAGTAAGATCGTTCATTGCAAGTGTTGATAATTTGTTGCCTTTAAGAGAGAGTTTCTGAAGCTCTTTATTACTATAGAATGCATACTCTGTAATATCTTTAATGTTGTTGTAAGATAAATCAAGGTTTTCAATATTTTCGGGAAACATTCCACTCATAATCTTTGTTGACAACATATTGGAGCTTAAATCTAAAGACGTAAGACTTGACAAATCCTGGAGAACCATGGAAATGTTTTCTAACAAATTGTTTTGCAGAGAAAGAGTCGTCAAGTGTTGAAGTCCATCGAACGTGTCCTTATGAACTACCCGTATTTTATTAAAAGAAAGATCGAGGGATTTAAGACTAGGCAAATGAAGGAACACCCCCATTACAGTTCCAGCTATTTTATTTCTTGAGAGATCTAATTTTTCTAGATTTTTTAGCCCTTTAAAATAATCAGAAGACAGTAATTTTATCTTATTTGATTTAAGGTCCAGCGATTTTAACATTTTCAGTCCTTTAAAATCAGGCACCAATGGGAGGTCATTATCTGAAAGATCAAGTTCTGTGAGAGATTCTAGATCCATAAATGCTGCTTCCTCAATAGAGCTTATTTGATTGCCATGAAGATCCAGAGAAATAAGTTTTTGAAGTCCAATGAAGGTTCCATTTCTTATCAGTGATAAATTATTTTGATCCAAATGCAAATATTGCAATTGAAGCAAATATTGGAACACTTCAGTTGACAGATCTGAAATGCTATTGTTTCCGAGGTCCAGGTTTTGGAGGGAACCAAGGTTTCGTAATACGGTCCTGTTAAGAGAAGTTATATAGTTTCCCTGCAGTTGAAGGTCCTTCAGCTGCTGAAGCGAAGATAATGATTCCCAAATTGTATCACTGAGGCCTGAATAGTCAAGAGTCAACACAAGTAAATTTACAGAGGTCGAAAATAAATCTTTCTGGACAGATCCTAAAGGATTTCGACCTAGTCCTACTATTTTCAAGTCATGATTGGAAGTAAACAGTGACACCGGTACCTCTGAAAGGGCATTGTTTGTAATATCGAGGTATGCCAACTTTTTTGCATCTGCCAATGCTCCTTCTTCTAAATTCATGAGGTTTCCGTCAGCAATGCGCAAGTCCTTCAAATTGGGCATGGTTTTCAAACTACCAGATGAGATGTTAAAGATGGAGTTCTTGTCCAGAATCAGAGTGGACAGCTCTGATAAGACAGTTTTATTTTCACAAATAACACCGCTAGACTCTATAGATTGAAGGTCGTTTTCTGTAATATTTACGTATTTCAGTTTTGAAGAAAGGCATAGATCTGGCATTTCGGTCACATGACTTGAAGTAACTGTTATGTGAGTTAGTTTTGGTACTTGATGAAATACAGAATTGGCCATTTCCAGTGTTCCAGCTGATTTGATTTCGATTTGTTCAAGGGACTCCATTCCGGATAAGAATTTTTCTGGCATATAAGCTATTCTACAATTTTCTATGCTTAGTCCCATGAAAGATGTGAGGGCACTGAACATATTATCACGCACGTGAGAAACAATGTCCTCAGACGTACACATGATATAAAGTATACTGGTGATCTGGGTACGAATGGCGGAAAAG